GGTCAGTACTGGAATTTTCACTGCTTTGGCCAGCTGAGATATAAGCGAAAATTATTCCACTGCCTTACCACATCAGCACGTAGAATTTGCTCACAGGACATCCTGGATGAGGAACTAGCTCATATATCAAGTACGCTGCAGAAGAATGGCTACTGCGATAGCTTTGTTGCAAAGAATTTTGAAGATAAGCCCGAACCGTTATCAGTTTTAACCGCGGCGAGAAAGTTGTTCGTAAGATTACCTTTTAAAGGGGATGCGACTGCCGAGCGTCTAGGAAAAGTCTTTCATCGACAGTCAAGTCAACATACCCAGCAGCCAGGTTAAAGTGTACATTTTCCAATGAACCACTTGTTTGTTTACGCAGTAATTATATACTGTCATTGCTGACCTCGTCTATAGTTATTTATCAGTTTAAGTGCGCTTGTGATGCTGCTTGTATTGGTCAAACGGCATGGCATTTGTCCATACTCTTGAAGGAGCACTGCCCGCTCTGGTAGCGTTAAGGAAGAACTGGAGCTATTAGCAGCGCCGCTTTGGTTTTTATTGCAAACACGGGGCGCCAAGAGATCTAAAACGTGTCATAAGATAAATTTACAGCGTCCCCAAGCACCAGTCAAGTGGTTTGCGCCTCCGTGCGCTCGCGACAGCTGAATCGATATGTACTCGGTTTCTTCAACCCGTTTTATACTCGCAAAAGAAGTTGCTTAATGCATTACAGCTTCCCTGACATTTTAGAACGAACGGTATTGTGGTCGATTGTTACAGATCAAGCATGGTATCATGCAATCGACCTGTCTGGTCAAAAGTAATATTTTAGCTTCATTTACTGAGCCGTCAATTAACTAAGTAATCTGAGCCAATGATTCGATTTAAGTACCTTACTATCCCCTTAAATGTGATTGTAATAGTCTGTAAGAAATCATCGAAGACATTTGTTCACTTGTTGTCCAGTGTTCTTTTGTTGCTATTTACTTCATGTGAAGGTAAGCTAAAACCTGCGGTTCCCAGGAAGAGCTTTTTATACTGCCATATCTGGAAACAGTCAATTCTGTGCTGATATACATTTGATTTACAACTGTCAAATTATTGTCCTGGATGCACTCTTTTCATCAAATAAATGTGCTCGTACGGTGGTGATATGTTTCTTATATTCACAGAATACAACCCTTTTTAAATTGCAACCTACCACAGCTAATCTTCCAAAAACCTCGGCTAATAACCTTAGTTTACTCAAGATTTATAACCATGCCAATGTTAGAACAGAATATTGCAAAGAGAATCGTTCTCTATATATGTCACCTGGCGTTTACACTTACAAATCGGATATACTAAACAAGGTAGACTATGGCATTGTGGAAGAACATAGCGGAACTACAATGCAGTTGAAATCAAACCGCCTAATTTTCTAATCTGTTCAAACTATGTGTAAGGAAGATTGTTATGATAGGAAAGACCCATAAAGAAAAACCGCCTCCCAGACGAAGAAACAGCGGCATTTTTCATTTTTAGAATATGTAGCATTGTTTTCCTGTGTTACACTGGTAAACCCGACAACGCGACCACCCAGATTGTCATATGGTGCCTTTGGTGTATCCTGTGCAGTAAAACTCTGGGCAGTTTTGGTGTTTTATAAAAACAAAGCACGCGGCATTTAGCCGAAGCCTTTCAATTAGCATTCAGTCCCAATCCTTTGCGGCAGATTACGGTAAATCTCAGCTTTGGAATTAACCAAACTAACAAATCTAAACATCAGTCAAATTTGGTAGTTGCATGAAACCCAACGACATTAAATAACGCATTAGAAGAAGCAAATTAAATAGTTGTTGCCTGGTGAATTTCCAGATATAACTTTTATAAATAGTTGTTTAGTTTTGTGTTATTGTGTATTGTTGTCTAGATATACTTATAAATTGAGGGAACAAAAGGTTAGATGATCAAAACACCTAAGTTATTTTCTGTGATTTGCTTGCGGCATACTAATATTAACAGATGTATCCATATTTCAAAAAACCAATGCATCATACTGTACCAGGGTCTAATGACACGTAAAATTACAGCGCACTTGTTATGCAATGTTACGTTGAGTTGCGTCATCTATTAGGGTTAAGTCATCTTAAAATTTATAAACACGAGAGCAATTTGGTTAATGAAAACGCTTGCATAGTACGATAGAGAAACAAAAATATATAAGTGTAATTCGTAGTAGACTGGCACGAGCTAGTTACACCTATCACTTAAAGACAGTTACCAGTTTTATATCAGTTCGCACATCAGTCTAACGCAACCCACCATCGGGTGCTTTTGGACAAAAGTAGGACAGTATATTCATTACTAGCAATTAAGCAGAACTTCTTGGTAAAGCTAAATTATACGGAGATTGATACTGAGACACTAGTTAAGAGCAAATAGAAAAGTCTCTACAAAACACTAAGAATTATAAAAAAAGCATAATATTTAATTGCGAATCGTCGGTGGTAGTGTATGGTCATGTAATCGCTTATCCTTTTGCTATTGGGAATTCTAATTGCTGTCATTATTCTGAGCATACTATGTATCTTTTAATTGTATGTACACTGTTTCACCGTTTCAAAATGATACACCTATGGCGTCCTCGGGATTAAAGCCGCACGCGCAAAGGCAGGACCTACAAAGATTCCACTTGTGCAGTGACCTTGTACGACTGTGAGACTTGACCTGAAGCGGTTGGCAGTATCCGGCAATTGCTGTACACGCAGGATTGCTCGGGTGAAGTAGCAACACCACCTAAGTAACTTAGAGGCCCGAGACCGAGAGCACGGAGCCAGCTGTGCCAGTCTTCAGAAGGTTATTCTCCAACTCCGCATACATTTGCAAGGCCACATATTTCGCAGACCGACCTGTCGCATATCCCGCCGCTCGATATTTGCGCAACCTCGAAAATATAGTAAAATTTAGCGGTGGAGATGAAGCATGAGAAATGCAACTTTAGGCTTAGAATCCTTTGGAAGTGCTTACTTTCCAAGATGGTTACCATGAGATCCGGACTTCTAATGGTTAGAAACGTTGGATATGATGCGCAACCAGCATCGGTGGAGACAGTTCTGTTCAACTTTGCTATCTGTTACTTAACATCACTGGGAACATAAAACTCAAAAATCCAAAAACTACCATAGCGGTGTTTGCAAGAACGAAAACATCAACTTCTTAATATATTATGTTGTTTCCCACCTTATTTCGTCATGGTTCTAATGGCACATTATCTATACTCAGATTGTGAAGATATATATACTTATAAGAAAACAAACCCAAGTCCCCTAAGTGCATTGGTATCAAACATGTGTTTTCATCTACTTGCCGTTTAAGAGCGATTCTGCTACTGAAATGCTATTGTGACGTTTGAAAGATGCTGCTAAGAAGACTTAGTTCGCGGCTCATTTAAGGATTGTTGATTATATTAAGCCGTTGACAGTGTTAGCTTTTAAGGCTGGCCTGTCTTCATTGACCCGGCCAGTGGTCGTTTTCAGTACTTGTGCCAATGTGGCGCAAGATCCGTGGGGCGCACAACGAGGCCAATATCAGAGAGGACTAGCGAACATATATTGGCCTGGTTCTAATAATTCGAGATGAGTTTTTAAATCACTCTATTCTCTCAAACTTGGGATTGGCACTAAAGCCTAAAGAGCATATAATCGATGTATCAAAGCATCCAGTAAACCTTTCGTAAGCATTAGCTGTCCATTGTTAAATGGAATACGTCCGTCAATAGATGCGAACACTTTGTGTTTAAAAATGCTACGTTCGTCTGTTCAAGATAAGTTTGAGAATCAAACAATGGCAACTACCAGCTTGGTAAACACCTAAACAACTTGTTTTGTGATATCGAGCTTTTTTGTGATATTTGCCAATTTATACTGTGCCTAACATTTGCAGTTTAGCCATGCTTTATCAGTTTGAGCAATCTAATAGAAATGTAACTTATTTTCTACACTGTTATTTCTAACATCGTCTTATCTATGATAGGTAAATGTGTGAATAGTTGAGCATTTACATAACGACTTATTATGCCCAATGCATTGGTCTTATTTGAATATTTTGTAATATTTTTTACACCCAACGGTCGTTTTATAGAAAATAAAGGTTATTAACAATAAAAAAACATTTCACTAGAAGCAAACTATCGCAACTAAAGAAGCTTGCCAAATTGCTGTACATTCTTACTACCTGTTATATACCCGTGAGTCGCCTAAAGTGGCATATAAGAATTAAATGTATCATGCATAACTTTTGAACTTTCAATCAATTCCATTTTGTGTAATATTTACAACATTTGCATAACTTATGATTGTGATTTGTCGCCCCTAGATATATGTTTCGCTGTGCACATATTAGTCAGTCCTTCCGTATACACAAGATAAATCCAGGGTGGTTTAACAATATGGTAATATGGCAATTCGTTTATCATGAGAACTTACTGCGCAAATCAAAAGCTAGCTTTATGACTAATCTACCGTAAATAAGTACGAGAATAGTGTCAGTTTGCTTGAAACAATTAGGTGGGTTCTAGACGATAGGGGATTCACAAGGTAAGAGTATGCTAATGTTAATTAGTATTTAAGCTCGTCGTGTTAGTCGTTCCTATATTTAACGAGCACACAGTTGACCACCCACCGTATTGTTTTAAACTGCTGATGCATGGGTGAACATTAGCAGGAATAATGGAAATTTAACGACTCAATTAATAGCAACCAAGAGGTTGAATCAAAATAGCTAGCGACTCAGGCAATCTTGATGTTTTAACAGTAAAACACAACCATACTTTTTAAACTAATTTTATCGTTGCATAAATCATAAACGTTTATTCCTTTCCTAGGAAATTTCTATGTACGCAAAGGAAAGCAGATTACCTGCATGCTACTGATTGGCTATTTGGCGTGAACCGGTAATTGGTCAACAGTCAAGGTTGTTGGAAATTTGCTATGAACATTTGTGATAATCATTAAAAGGCATGCAAATGTGAGCGCACAACAAAAATTGATTGCTAACCGGATTTCACAATATGTCACTAAAATACTCGGAATGTAGCTGCATATGTTTATGTAAGTTGGATTTATTAGACGTGGCTTCGAGTTAAAATGTACATTCTTCATAACGGCAACTAATGGTTTGACCTTTAGGAGAACAGGCTATTTGTCAACTGTTTGCAACTATGCTTGCATTTTTGCCCTCAGGTATATTTATCTATCATAAAAATATTGTTGCAGCGGCCATCCCAGATACATAAACACGGATCACATTTCATCATTATTATATCCTGATCAAATAAAGCTCTTTGCTATCTCAAAACTAAACATGTTTAACAAGTATATATGTAATACGTGTTATAAAATGTGGCGCTTTACACAAAGTGTGCAATTTATATAGGCCTTTTTCGGGCTCAAATGATTTTCTAAGCATTTGGTAAGGGGATATTGAAATCGACAAACATTATACTTTACATAGAATGACTAAGAAGCTAGTTCTAATTAATGAAATAATTGTCTGACATTGAACATATAATAACCACATTCGTTTGTCTATGCAACCAATGCATAAGTAAAAGTGTCTGCAAGTATAATTCATGTTGATTATTTGCATAGTTATGCAAATCTGGGCGGAGACATTGCAGTGTAATTGAAATAAAAATTAAGTACTCACATGCACGTTCAATATGAGTTGCCATATGATTAAATTGAAACCCTGTTGAATTCTGTTTACCTATGCTTAACTAAACGATCCACTTACTAACTGGAAAGAACAACATCTACACATAGCTATGGATGCAAAAGTAAAATTAGGCGGTTGTGTAATATATGCATTTTGCTGCAAAGTGCAAAATTTTCAAACCAGTACGTGGTATTTTAAACTTGTTTTTGTTTCAGTCAACTGTATTTTGAAGATTTTTCCTAATGCTTCTATAGGTAATAGCAAAACAGCCAACTAGCTAACTTGGTTACCCTTGCACTTAGTCATAATTGATTGTATTATACAAAAGGTTGAGCATATGAGCATTCGAGGATTGCAGTTTGTTTACGGCCATTCCTGTTAAAAAAGTTCAATTTGTTGGAAATCAATAAGTTTCTAAGGTACAAACATACTTAGGTAAATTAGAGCTCACCTGTACCGATGATATGCAGCTTCTTACCGGTTTATCGGTGCTATTAAATAACACATGTACCGTCTCCAGATTTGTAGAACCATATGCTTTCAAAACTAGGCAGAATTTTGCTTCTGCCATGACGAATGTATATTGCCTCTCTACTAATATTATCGTACAGATAATATACGACGGTCATAAAGTTACATGTTTGGCTCGTTATTTTTGTAAAAAATGTACATTAAATTACGTTTTGCAGTTTAGTATATTTTACTGCTATATCACCAGCATGACATGCTAAACAAATTGTTATTATATATATTATTTATGTAACTTCGGTTTGATAAGTAAAATTTTAGGTGTTTCTTTGACAACACTGCTTAGCAATAAGCAGTATCATCATGTTTTTCATTAAATTGAGAACTGTATAGCGCTGCCCCTAAGCCGACTATACTAACAAGTAATCATCATTACATTTAAAATCGATACCTCAATTCAGTCAGCCTTCACAAGCTATGTGTTGTAGACAAACCGTACGTTGTTATTCATCGGGTTTCTTAGGGCTAGCTGGTACTGTTCAAGCTTTACGTACCTTCGCATTCTTACTGATTTAACTTTTTTAAGAAATATTATGCAATATGTATACTGTGCTGGTATTCCAGACTAATTATGTTGTCATATATGCCGGTGAAGTAAGGCTTTCGCAATTTAACTTGAGTATGATATCTTACTGCCATTCGATCTACTGCTGGTTATATATTTATAATGCAATTATGTACACATCGTGTGCGACCCAATCTGTCTTGGTCTAAGACGTGCAAATAGAAGTTCCGTACAATTTTGTGCAATTCGTATGTACATCTAACCCGGTTAGGCGGTTTTCGGTTTAAACAAAGTGTTCATTATTTTGGCAGAGTCGTCTAGCTTCCCATGACATCCATACGTCCGCGTATTTTTAACGGTGCTCTACGTTCAAACTGGAGAGAATTGGAAGTGGTTGCGCGAAAAAAGTTATATATAACATCTTGGCCGTTCTTGCAATCTGCACATTTACAACTGACATATGCTCGCATAATTGCACCAACACGTGTTTACTCTATTGATTATAATTATAAATAGCATGCGACTATGGATGTCCTTGGCGATCCTAAAATGACTGCAAATCTGACATAAATGTACGCTGCATTTGGAAACCTTTTGCATGCATACGTTGTCCGTAAAATAGTCGATTTTCATCTATTTGCGAACATGCTAACAATTTAGAAATAGCAAGTTTACAATGCATTGTACCTCCCGCTTCAGCTGATTTTATTTATTTTCAACTAAATAACACAAGATGCAGACAAAAATTGTGAAAACGGATATATATGCGCGTATGAGCAGAAACCTGTGCGTTAGGTTACATAAATTGACTAACGGTGGATTAATAATTTAAACTACGAAAACAGCTGAGTTGTCATCGAAGTGAGCCAAAAGTTGTGGAATAGAATTTTATAATTTTTAATTTTTCTCATTCTTCTCCCGTGAAACTCCTTAAGCTACAGCTAGTGTACCACAAAAAATATATGCTTTACTTGTTCCATTGATTTACGCCTCAAATTAATTTTCACCGTAGATTATGTGGGCCAGGAGACGTAAGTGTATTTTCTAAGGTTAATATGTGTTGTTGCGCAAAATATTGCTGATGAAATTACCTTATTAAAAGAGATGCATAATGACCATTATTAAGCTGACGGTCAGTTATGATTCGAAAGCTTTATACGTGGTATCGATCCTCCATTTAGACAAGCAAAGTTGGCTTTAGTATCTTATTTACGAGGCTAACTGTCCGTAAGTAGAGGCTAACTATTAGCAACTAAGCAAAATCGCAACCATTTACTCACCACGTTAGTGAATTCGCTACTGTTTCAACCATGTTAGCAAAAATAAAATAGCAATAAATACTAATTTATTGGAGGAAACGGTTTAATACGATGGTACCCATAAGTTTCTGTTCGATATAATTCTATTCCGAAAACAGATTTGATGGAACATATGCTACTTAAGAACTTATAGTTAAATTGGTTGAAACTGCCCATGGAAGTATCATATGAATTTCGACAGCTCGCTCAAACAACATATTGCCCAGTTAGTTTTCTGTCAGGATACATCATAGACAAATGCCAACATTTCCGCGGTACTGGGAAACGCGGAATAATTACGTAATTTGCTATATTGAACGAAAATTATTAAATTGCGCGGAACCGCTGAAAAAACTATAAGTTTCTTTATTACGCTATATTTGATTTGTTTGCGTTGTAAACAATGCATTTTTATTGAGAAGAAATGCTAGCTGGTTATTGGAGCCTTACGCTGGAGTATCACCATTATCCGTACTTCATCTGCTATCCAAGTCCGCTTGTCCACAGACACAAGTATCACATATATATTTATCTATTAAGAAACCATATCTTATCTGTCTGCATACAATATATTTTACTATACGAAAGCACTTTGTCTAATGTCTATTAAATAGGTTTGACATCGGTTCCATTACAACTTGTGTGTGTGCCAAGCTGACACACACCGTTTCCCATTACGGTCACTGATGAACTTGAAGCGTTGTCGTCTCTTATTTTTGAACATTGGTAAAGTCTTTGCGTAGGACTCGGGGGCCTAACATAAGCAACGGTGTTAAGGAGCTGAGGGACGTAAGTTCTCTTTATCTCTCAGCATTGCGGCAATAACGGCTTCTTTCACACCGCCTGAGTGCATGGTGACGATAACGTAGTAACAGTGCTGAGAAGTTGACGGTAACATGCTTTAGTATTTAATTTTCGTCTTCCTTTGAGTAACACCTACTTCAATCTAGCTTCATTTTCTTTGGACCCATTACACGAAAAAAGCATCTATTTAGACTAAAATAATGAAACGGTTAAACTTTTGCTAATACCATCTCGGAAAAGTAAATCGTTTTATGAAACAAAACCTTTCTGGACAAAAGGAATAAATTTTCTAAAGATTCCTACGTCGGTTTCGCAGAAAAAATTCTACTGGTTTGTCCATCTTGTAAAGTGACTTTTACTTCGTCTCAAACATCCACCTTGGTTTAGACACGTTCCCGGTCAGAATCATCTTCGTTAGAAAGCTTACACAAAGTAGCCAGAGGCTATCGATGTTGCCATGGGGAAACAGCTCCAAGGAATGCTCGACAATCTAGCATTATTAGTTTCTTCTGGTTTGGGAATGCTGCGCAATAAACACGCGACACATTAATATCTAATATTGTACTTGTTAGGTTGTCTGCAATTAATTATGTAAACAAGGTCAACAAATTCTAATTGAGGACTTTCTTAATTGACACATGGGAAATAGTGGAAACACTGCCGTATCTGACGCACTACGCCTGCAAATTTACGAAATCTACAGGAAACTTTATAAGGTATTGAAAATGTTGTCACTTTTTCAGCATTACAGCAAACGAAACAACTAATGATCACTGAAAGACAGAACTAGACATCCTGTGTGCTCACCACTGACGTCTAACAGGGATAGCCTCGAGCTTATGTCATAGACTCGGTCAATATGTGCAGGACCAACTACGTCAAATTTTGAGGGGCCATTGTTTACGGCTTGAAAAAGATGGTATGCAGTACGGTCGTATGATAACTTTCGAGTCCGGCGGCGCAAGATTTAGGACAGAATTCTTGCAAGATATCATTAAGACTGTTTAAAAGCATTTATTTCACAGCAGATATGTTGTCCATTGCGTTACTTTGATTGGAAGACCATTCGCAAATACTCTATGAAACTCGACCCATTCGTTTAAAAATTGACAGGTTTTCTTCTTTCAGGAAGAATGTAGTGTGTCTACTTAGAGTAACTAATTCAGAAGCGCTTGGTTAATACAATCATTCTACTTCCCATATATGCGGTTATGGTATCAAAGTAGACCATTAGAGACACAGCTATGACCGACTCCAT